TTTATTTGAGAAATAGGTGGGTATATTTTATAGAGTTTGGACTGAGTTTTGGGGTTGGATATGATTTATATTAATTTTAAATATTATTTTAACCGTTGGATTTAAATTTCAACCATTGGATTTTTTTTTTTACCATTAAAATAGCTTGGATTTAATATGGATCATTGATTTGGGTTACTGTTGGAATAAAAAAAATAGAAAGAAAAAAAAGAGTTGTGACACTAGTGCACGACACCTTCTGTAGCACCAGAAGTACGGGCCCCATTGTTACCTCGTTGCACATAGGTTGCATCATGGTTGTGTGGGCTCCACGCACAAAAATTCCTGTCCAGACTATAGCTTGTCCTAAGTTTGGATTTTTCCAAATTTTAGCCCCCTACTTTTCTTGGTTGGGAGAGAAATTAGGCTAAAATTTAGGATTTTTTGGGTTCGGCCTCAGGGATTGGAAATGACCTTAGTGACTACAGTATATATTTATAAGGCAGAAAAACTTACTTGTAATTGTTATTTTAGGAGCATCAAATAGGAAACATTTATTTTTATTTTTATTTTTGTTGCGAAATTTGCGTGGTCCTTGCTAGATTTTCTTCCTTTTATGATTGAATGATTTTGGTCGACAAAAATACTTTAGTGGGGGAATAAGATGGAATAACTGCAATGAAAATATGGGCAAGTGAAATTTGATTGAATTTGGTACATGAAAATAAAAAAGACGGAATAATAAGATGGAAATGTGTGTGTGTGTGTGTAAACAAAAGGCGTACCCACAATAGTAACTAAAAGAGTCACATGTAAACAATGGCAACAATCCAAATTCGAAAGTTAACAAATTGCATGAAGGAGTTATGTTATGGTAAATTTTATTTTTCATCTACTACGTGCATGCAATTCGCGCCTTCCATTTATTTTTCCCCAATAGCTCAAGCTTAAAAGCAACTCATTTTTTTATACGGTAAAAGCAACTCCTTATCCCCATCCATTTTCAACCCGTAAGCTTTTCCTCCCTTGAGTATTTCTTCTTCTGCATCAATCCACCCAGCTTGCATCTAACTGTTTTACCAACCTCTTCAAATTTGGGAAACACAACCAACCAAGATCCCTTAACAAATTAAGGGACTTGATACCCGAGAAGTTAACCTATTGCCTTATAATAATAAAAAGTTGAGATGTTGGAGAAAACTAATAGTCTTGTGATCCAAGAACTCAAAAATTGTTGTGATAAAAAGAAGAAAGAGTTTGACGGTGGAGAACAAGCGTTATTCTTATCATCTGTTTTCTCTGCTCCCCTAACACTCTTGGAAATTTGAGGGTCCACATAAAATCACGAAGTATTACCAATTACATTTGTTTAATTATACTTTTTTTGAAAATCAAATTCCATAATCCAATGTAATTGACTATAGAATATCCACTATACCAAATTCAATAATCCATTGTACCTTTAAGGCACTTTAATATTCTTCTACATTTGTTTATTTACACCCATTTCCCCCACTATTTTTTTTTTCAAAACCTTAAATCCAACTATACCATTCAAAATAAATTAAAAAATTTATGTCAACACAAACCTACTCCAAAATTTGATCAGCCACCTCCCATGGCTACTCTCTCTTCTTCTTCCCTCCCCACCCACCCATCCATCCATCCATCCAATCTCCTCAATCCTGACCAGATCAATTGAAAGAGAAAGAGAAATCAAGATAATGAATGTAAAAGGGCTTTGACTTGCATATTAGTGGTCTCGGGTTCGAACCCCCATGACATCTTAGTAGTTTGTGTGCATTGAAAATTAATCTCGGAGGATTTGGATCACTCAAAAATATCTCTCACTGAAACCAATTACGGCTTTAGAGATTGGGACCTTCGCTTTATTCTTCGTGTTGTGCACAAACACTCCAAGACCTTGTCATTGATGGACTATGCAACAGTACACACACAAATTCTTTTGAGAATAAAGCATACACATCGAAGAGAGAAAGAAAGCACACACAAGAATACAATGATTTATAGAGGATCAGCCTCGTGCTTATGTCCTCTTAGTGATCCATCCGAGAAATTCACTAGTATGTAAGAACAACTCTGGTTACAATCTTAAACCCCCTTAGCTCTTACAAGAATCCTAGCTCTCCTTTCTCTCACCCTTTGCTCAAACCCTTAATGCCCTTGGAAAAACACCCTAGAATTCCCTCTTGAAATCTATTGTGTCTTTCTCTTGAAAATTCTCTCTTGAATTTTCCTCTCCTTAATTTAACCTAAATTTATAATGCATAGGACTTAAGTTACAAGTTGACTAGTGTATGGGCTTTTTCGTTCCAGCAGCTTGACGAATAGGCCTGGGCTGCTGTAAAGAGCAAATGGCTGGAATCGCCCCTTGTGTCTGAGTTCGAGAATCAAACCCCAAGTGTGCTTCGAAAGGGTAGCGGAGCCTTAGGAAACACCCTAGTTATCTTCACCAACAAAAAAGATAATTGCTTGCAGATAAATATTTAGGCTTGACATGAGAAGTTTGTGGCATGGGAGCTGAGCATTCATGAGTTTAGCATGAGAGAGAGAAGGCTTGGGTTTCCTATGAGAAACATAGGCTCGAAGTAAGGGGAAGAGAGAGTTTTTGGGAGGATTTGTTGAGGAGAGAGAGGAAGAGATGAGGAAGAGGAACGGGTGGCTTGAGCAAGTTTTTGGCAGCTTGACGAAAGTTCTGTCAAGTACTGGAACAGTTCTGCCAAGAGGGAAAATGGGGAAGAAGGATGAATAGTGCACGAAATTGCTAGGTTTTGAAGATGAGAGGAAAGCTTGCTCTCTGAATATGTGTTATGAGAGAGAGAGCGAGGAAGAAGATGAAAGCATGGGTGGCTTTAGCATATTTCCAGCAGCTTGACGAAAGCTTCGTCAAGCTCCTGGGCGATTTGATAGAAGAGAAAATGGGAAGCAATGGAAGAACAAGGCTTGAAATCGGAGGGTTCCAGAGATGAGAGATGATGCTTGCTCTCTCTGGATGTGGGTTTTGAGAGAGAGAAAGGAGGAAGATGGAAGAACAAAGCATGAAATTGAAGGATTCCAGAGGGGATGCTTGCCTTCGATCGGTTTTGTTGTGTGTTTTGCTGGGAAGAAAGTGGCTCCTGTTATAGGCGTTAAAAACCTTAATTTTGTCAAGCCACCCTCTCCCCTTTTTCCTCACTTTCTTCCATTTACTCTTGTTTGGTGAAATTTCCCTAGCCTGAACCCATAGGCACGCAGCTTTTTGGGGTTCCAAGGTCCTCAGGCAGCTGGGCTTCTCCATGTGGGTGAGGAGCCGCCCACTTTTGTTTCTTGTTTTCTCACCAAAGCTTGAAGAGGAAAGAATGGGTAAGGGTGCTTGGTCAAAAAGGTGATCAGCACATGGGTTTGCTTGGTTTTGGTGGTTTGGCTGCGATATGGTTTTAACAGAGATACACGACGTTGGATATTTTATAAGGTGCTGGGCTGGGCTGTTTTGTTTCCAACGGCTTGTGAGTTCCCTTTGATTTCGTCAGACTGTTGGAAGCTTTGGCTAATGTGGATTTTCTCACGTGTTATAGGCTATTAGGTTTTCTTAAGGTGATGGGCTACTAGGTTTTTCTCTCATGCTTACCCATATGTTTGGGCTCAAGGAATGGGTACTCCCAAGTAGCCCAAAACTTCCACTCCTTGGACCATTAATGGGCCTTGTGAATACTCGTAACCATCCATACCACAACCCGCTCAGCAAGCCCCAGGCGTTCGCGTGGCTTAGGCCCACTTAAGCTTGTAGCGTGGCGTGTTGCTTATTTGCTTGGCGTGGCATGTGTGCAAGCACATATGACGAACTTTCACGTGCCCAAATCAGGTTTCTTCTCAATAAAGTATAGCATTGGGCCGATATTATATTTGGGCCTAGCCTTGGATTTTTTGGGTCAACAACTAGGAATAGGAAACCAAAACCCTATTTAATTAGGCTAAGAAACCCTAATAAAATAAGAAATCACGTCAAAATAGGAGAGAATCACGCCAACCGCTTGGACATGTTGCGTGTCTGGGAACTGCTGCTCGAGTGTGCCTCCTTGCCACTCGAGCACCTGGGTTCATGCCAAAAATTGGGCTATGCCGCTTGAGCGTCAATACCTTCTTCTTCTTCACCCGTTGCATCTTCTTCATCTCAAACCGCTCCTCCTTACAGCCATTTTGGTTCCTTCTTTCCTCCCTCATCACGGTGAGCCAAAAACTTCAACACTTCGCTAGTGGTTGTTGTGGGACCAATGGTACAAGAGAAAATGAAGTTGAGACAATTAGAGCCAATATTCGAGTTTGGAGCAGACAATTAAATCTTTAAAAAATCGTAAGTGCGAACTACCTAAAATAACCATTTTACCCTTATATTTGATAAAAAATTATAACAAGTTATGAGGGTACGGAACATAAGTTCAGAGACAACATGAATCATTTTTCGAATTCGAATAACAAAATGAAAATTTGGGCATAAGTTCAAGGACTATTGCTCTTAAAAAGTCTTTGTCAAAACTCTTGAAAAGCTAGATAAGTTCAGGGACTACATGAAAGTCAGATTAATGACTTGTGTCACATGAAATCCATATGGGGGTTTATGTAAGAAAAAAATTGGCTTATCAAGTCGGGGAAAAAAAAAGGTTAACTTGATAGTTTGACTGACGGTGGAGGGAAGTTGATTTTGCAAGATTAGTGCAAAATGTAATTGACCTGCACGTTGTCCAGATCAAAAAACAATTGGTAAAGATCACTTATTGCCAATTGTCAGATTTATTTAAATAAAAGTCAATAATTGAAATATATAATAGAAACATAAAAACCTTTTTTTTAAGCTGAAAGATTAAAGATAACTTAATAAAATATTGCAACATGTTTAAATAAAAATTAAAAATAAATATATGGAGTTCTCTCCTGATGTCGGCCGGACCTAAGCAAGTGGTGTATGTATTATATGTATGTGAGGGCGCAACTTGTTGCATTGAAAAGAATCAGCAAACAAATAACTTTTGCGTCCCCGAGAGCTAGGTAGCAATGGTGGGTATTTGCCCAGCCTATGAACTCCTCTCTTCATCCTCGTCCTCAAAGCATTGGACTTACGACGTGTTCTTGAGTTTCAGAGGCGAAGACACACGCAAAAACTTCACGGGTCACCTCCATATGGCACTAAAAGACGCCGGAACCAATGTCTTTATTGACGATGATGAGCTTAGAAGAGGGGAAGATATATCAGCGGAGCTGGTGCGGGCAATCGAAATGTCCAGGATCTCTGTCATCGTATTCTCGAGGAGCTATGCCACTTCCAGTTGGTGTCTTGAGGAGCTTGTGAAGATCATGGAGTGTAAAAGAACACTAAGGCAAATGGTTTTTCCAATATTCTATGATGCTGATCCTTCAGATGTGAGGAAACAGACTGGTAGTTTTGGAGAAGCATTTGTGAAACACTCTGACCGCTTCCTGTTAGATATGGATAAGGTACTGAGGTGGAGATCTGCTCTTACTGAAGCTGCAACTTTGTCTGGCTGGGATCTCAGAAACACTGCTGATGGGTAAATATATATTTTATGCTCCCTGGACAATTATTTAACTTCTTTTACTTTCTATTACTTAACAGAATTTGAAGAGATTTTGATTATTCAATTTATGAGTACATGTTGAACTTTACGTTCGTAACCGAAAAGGAAAAAAAGTTGAATTTTACTTTCTTGTACAGAGGAAAAGAATAAGTACATAGTTATTGATTCAGTTTAATTTTGTAGAGGCTTACTATTTCTGAATACAATTTACCTACCAGGCATGAGGCAAAGTTTATCAAGAAAATTATTGATGAGATTACTAGGCACCTGAACAGCACATACTTATTTGAAGCGGTCTACCCAGTTGGAATTGATTTTCGCGTAGAAAACATGAGCAGTCATCTATATGTAGGATCAGATGATGTTTGCATAGTCGGAATTTGGGGGATGGGTGGAGTGGGTAAAACAACCGTTGCCAAAGCCATCTATAACCGATTTTATCATATCTTTGAAGCTAAAAGTTTCCTTTCAAACGTTAGGGAAGCTGCAAAGCAATATAATGGTTTGGTTTGCTTGCAAGAACAACTTCTGTCTGATGTCTTGAAACCAACCAAGATAAAGGTAGATAGTGTTGACAGAGGGATCAATGTGATCAAAGAAAGACTTCGAGGTAAAAGGGCACTTGTCATAATTGATGATACAGATCGAGTGGACCAACTAAATGCATTAGCTGCAAATCGTAATTGGTTTGGGCCAGGAAGTCGAATCATTATAACCACAAGAGATGAACATTTGCTGAAGCAACTTGAAGTTGATGCAATATATTTGGCTCCAGAAATGAATGAAACAGAAGCTCTAGAGCTTCTCAGTTGGCATGCCTTTAAAAATAGTTACCCTAAAGAAGGATATTATGAACTCTCGAAAAGTGTAGTTGCTTACTGTGGAGGTTTACCTCTAGCACTACAAGTTCTAGGTTCTTTTCTTGTTGGAAGAAGCGTACCAGAGTGGAAAAGTGTGTTGGAGAAGTTGAAAAGAAGTCCTCATCACGAAATTCATGAAAAGCTTAGAATAAGCTTTGATGGGCTAAATGATGATAATGAGAGGGATATATTCCTTGATATATCTTGCTTCTTTATTGGTATGGACAAGAACAATGTCAACCAAATATTGGATGGTTGTGACTTTTCTGCAGAAATAGGAATGAGTGTGCTCCTGCAAAGGTGCCTTGTAACTGTTAGCGAAACAAACAAGCTGATGATGCATGATTTGATTCGAGATATGGGAAGAGAAATTGTCCGTGAAAAATTCCCGAAGGAGCATGGAAAACGTACAAGATTGTGGCATTATAAGGATGTAGCTGATGTATTGACAAAACACTCTGTAAGAACTTTTCCAATCAATGCTTTTTATGTTTCACATACTCATATATTCTATGCCATGTGTTGCCGTTAGGGGATATATCTTGCCAAGATTATGCAAAATCAACAACTACAAAATTTGTAATGGTATTAAGTAGAACCATGCAGTAACCAGACTGTTCGTCGTGCATCTCTCTGTGATCAATTTAGAGCAATCTTCACACAGAAACTCCTTTCCTAATTATTATTTATTTTTAACAGGGAACTGAAGAAGTAGAAGGGCTCGTGCTAAAGTTGCCAAGATGTAACAAGGTTAGTTTCAGTGCAAAAGCATTTACAAAGATGCAGAGACTGAGATTGCTCCAACTCAACTACGTACAGCTCAATGGAGTCCATCAATGTTTTCCCAAAGAGTTAAGATGGCTCTGTTGGCATGGGTTCCCTCTAAGGTTCATACCGAAAGACTTTAGTCTACAAAACCTAGTTGCTCTTGACCTGACGTATAGCAACCTCTGCCAGGTTTGGAAGGATCCTCCGGTAAATACAGCTCAACCAAATTATTATTGATTTGATTTTGGTGTTGTGCATACTAACATGTTGCTTTCTGTTCTCTTTTATTTGGACTTTGATTTCCGCTTCCTTTTGGGTTTACGCAAACAGTTGCTTGAGAAGTTGAAGTTTCTTGATCTAAGTAACTCCCATCACCTAACACTGTCACCAGACTTTTCAAAACTCCCGAATCTCGAACAATTGATGCTCAAAGGCTGTGTGAGTTTGCCTGAGGTTCACGAATCCATTGGACATCTTGGAAGACTTTCTGTTGTAGATTTGGAAGACTGCAATCTGCTCAAGGATCTCCCAAGGAGTTTATACAAGTCAAAATCTATTGAAGTTCTTGTTCTTTCTGGCTGTTCAAGATTTGAAAACTTGGCTGAAGACTTGGGGGAGATGGTATCCTTGACAACTCTTCTTGCAGACAGAACAGCCATACGGAAAGTACCATTTACTATAGTAAGACTGAAGAACCTTAGAAACTTATCTCTATGTGACCGGAAATGGTCTCCGTCCACAAGATTCGGTCTTAAAAGGTCATGGGCCTTGCCACGAAATATTCCTAAATCGCCTGATTTATTGCTTCCTTCATTCCGGGGCTTGAACTGTCTAGAAAAGTTGAGTCTTGCAAACTGCAATTTAACTGATGGTGCAATTCCTAATGGCATTTGGGGTCTACCTCATATAGACCATTTAGATATAAGTGGAAATCATTTTCATACCTTACCAAACGTCAGTGGCCTTTCCAAGCTGAACTTTCTATCCTTGGATCATTGCACAAACCTTCGAGCCATCACAGATTTACCAAAGAATTTGTGCAAACTGTCGGCAAATTACTGCACTGCACTGGAAAGATTGCCAAATTTTTCAGAAATGACAAGTAACTACATCACGTGTATTACATCTGATGGACTACCTAATCACATTTTAGGCATGGGTAATCTTAATGAGGAACTAGTGTGGATTTACATGCAAGGGTGCAAATCAATCACTGTTTATCTTAAGAAGTTTTTGCTAGAGGTGCGCTCTCTCTCTCTCTCTCTCTCTCTCTCTCTCGGAGCAGGATCATGTATTAATTTTACACATTGCTTTAACAAATGTTGCTCCTCTAGGGATGGAGACCGGTTCCTGGATTTGGTCATACTCTCAATGCAAAGGATATTCCAAACTGGTTCCCCTACATCGGGGGTTACTCTCTCACTTTTGAGGTGCCTCAAGCTATTCATACTTTATATGAGTTCGTTGTTTGTGTCGCTCAACGTACTCTTCGTGAGCCGGAATCTATAAACACACATTCAATTGTAATGCTTAATTTAAGTAAGGGCACTACTCACGGCTGGGTATTTTCAATGCAAAACCGCAAGTTGGGAGATCACCTTTGGATTGCAGTTGCAGAGCCAGTTGAGACGGGTTTCGAGGCCGGCGACAAAGTTTTGGTTGTTGTATATGCTACACCAGAGATCTATGTGAAGGAAATCGCGCTCAGTCTATTATGGTACAAATTTATTAATGGCAAAAAGATTCGATATCTCTCAGTCTCAACGGATAATGGTGTACGGTTCGAATCATCCGAGGGCATTGAAGAATTTTCAATTGGAGATCAACTCCCCTGCTATGAGGCAGGGCCAAGCGATTAGTGTTTCTTGAGCAGCAAGCCATTGCTAGCCTAATCATGATGGTGATGATGAGCATTATGTTTACTTTATTTAGAAGATTGTCACGCAGACTCAATTTTTGTTATGCTTACTTTATTTAGAAGATTATCATGCAGACTTAATTTTTGTTTTTTCTACTTCTTTTGTGGTTATGCTCTCTTGAATTTTCTTTTGTATTATTTTATTTTATTTTAGGTATGGAAAAGAAAAATATAATTTAGAGATCATAGCAAATATATAATATCTTTTTCTTTGCTGGGAAGATTGAGGATAACTTATTTAAATATTCTAACATGTTTAAATAAAAATGTTGACTTTTAATTAGATAACTAAACAAATGGATCATCATTTGCGTGTTAGAACTTGTGTAATGTTAGTATTTAAAATGTTTATTAAGAAAAGAGGAAGAAATAAAAAAGTAATATCGATAAGACGTGTTCCTTCATTACTGAAGTTCTGATCAGAACCAGTGCTGGACATAGCAATGGGTACTAGGACAGCCCTTGAAGCTTTCTCTTCATCCTCATCCTCCTCAAAGCATTGGATGTATGGTGTGTTCTTGAGCTTCTGAGGTGAAGACACACGCAAAAATGCTCCGTTCTGTTATGTCGTTTCAACGCTCCCTGGTATTTAATTATTATTTTACTTTATTTTTTAATTTTAAATACTTAAAAGATTTTAAAATATGCGATGTCGTTTCAACGCTCCCTGGTATTTAACGACAGCACCGAAAATTCATCCCACCGAGCGCTACTTGTCTGTCCCTTTCTCACCACACTGTTTTCTGCTGAATTTTCTACTTTTCTCGGGGAATTTTCTTTCCCTGGAATTTTTTTTTTCCCAGGAAAGATAGTTTTTCCGAGAAAAAAAAAAAAAAAAAAGAGTATCTAGACCTGCCATTGTTTCTATCGACGCTTTTCTTTGGTAGTTTCCATAAAAGAAACCCAAATTTAAAAAATATAAAATAAAAAACTCTTCTGGGTTTTGATCATGGGCGGTGATTCTCCAATATCAGGTGGTTTTCTCATCTGTCTTCTAAATCTAATGTTTTGTCGTCGAATTTTGTGTTATTTAATAATCTATTGATCTTAATCATGGTATATGAAACATCGATTACATTGTGGCCTGGCTCAACTACTTTGCATATATTTTCTTGGGAAAGCTCTCAATGTGTTGAGAATTGTTCTGTTTTGTTAATAAATTTGTGATGTCTTTGAAGATTAGCTGTTCGGGGAGAAGATAAAAAGGCAATAAATTCCACAAAAGAAACCATAGTCTGGATAATTTTGTGTAATATCAAAGGTATATATGAAATATTTAATCATATGCCGATATTAGAGCGAATTCCGAAATGATATAAGCAAGATAAGAATATGGGATGATGTGCGTATCAGTAATGAAATGAACCCCTCTGGTATTGCTCAGATTTTGTGAATGTGATGCATGTTCCCTTGTATAACTCTGTTTCTCAAAGAAACGTTTTTGCCCTTCAATGCCTATTGTATTAGCTTATGATGTCTTTCCTCAAATTTTCATGAGACATTAGTTTGTAGTCTTGTTTTTAGTATGAGGATGCTCCTCAATGCTTCTTGTTTCTGGGTTGTAGAGATGAGAGCATTAAATAATCAATTTGACTGCGAAAATGGAAACAAAGTGTCTTCGAAAGAAGGGAAGGGAACGAGGCTATGGAAGAAAGTGAAATATCAGCTTATTGAATACCATGCATTGCCTAGCTTTTTAAGGGACAACGAGTACATTCTGGGTTATTACCGATCAGAATGGCCATTGAAGCAGGTGTTTCTAAGCATCTTCTCCATTCATAATGAGACTCTCAATGTGTGGACGTAAGTACTTTAGCTCAAAAACTTATTACGTTTTTATAATCCAAGTCCAAAGCTTATTATGTTTTTCTTTTCTCTCGTTCTTATTTATTTTACATCTATGTGGTCAATACTTGCACTGTGATACATGATTTGGATTATATTTGAAGCTGTGCCTCTCATGAAAATAACATTGATTGCTGAGAAATGCTTTTAAGACCGTTGCTCTTAAACTTTGTTTGCTTTTTTTTTTCCCAGGCATTTGATCGGGTTCTTCCTTTTCCTTTTCCTAACCATATACACAGCAACAAAAGCTCCAGACCTCATGGATCTTTCTTCCTTCCAACGTTTGCCTGACATGATTAGAAGAGCTGATTTGTACAAAATTCATCCAGAACTGTTGAATTGCCTCCCTTCACTACCCAACATGTCTGATATTTATAGATTAAAAGACGATTTTAAGCACTCTTTGCCCTCTATGGATTTTATCTCCTCAGTGTCAGGGAATATAAGGGAACTTCTCGCCAAGTGCTTGCCTGAGCGATTCTCCCATGCCTATCAAACAGAGAATTCTGTTCTGGTATTGTCCTGCATCCTTGATATTGAAATGTAACTCTGCTTGTAGTATGATGCAAAACTGTCATTCAGTACTTTTCAAATTCTTTCACCACATTTGTTTTCCTTTTATTCAAGAGTTTTTCTTCAAGCTACCTGATACATGCCATTTTCTATGAATTTTCTGTATCAAAGCCGTTCTATATACCTATGGGAACATAATATTTAATTTGATGTTGTCCTTGTGTTTCCATGTTTCACAGCCTGATTCCTTTGTTACTTGTTTAATAACTGCAGCATGGAGTTACAGATGATGTGATGAACATGGTGGCCCCCCTTATGTATCGACCTATTACAAGGTGGCCCTTCTTTGTCTTCCTAGGTGGAGCCATGTTCTGCTTGCTAGCCAGCAGCACATGCCACCTCCTTGCTTGCCATTCAGCTCGCCTTTCCTACATAGTGCTTAGATGTGACTATGCAGGCATCGCTGCACTCATCACAACCTCATTTTACCCTCCTGTTTACTACTCCTTCCTGTGCAACCCTTTCTTTTGCAACCTCTACTTGGGCTTCATAACAATACTAGGTATCGCCACCATTGTTTTCTCCCTCCTCCCACTTTTTCAAGGACCCAAGTTCCGTAGTTTTCGTGCTTCTCTCTATTTTGGGATGGGTGTGTCTGGTGTCGTTCCTTTGGTTCATAAACTCATAGTGTTCAGGAATCAACCAGAAGCCCTTCAGACAACCGGCTATGAAGTGCTAATGGGGGTTCTTTATGGACTGGGGGCTTTGATTTATGCTACAAGGATACCGGAGCGGTGGAGACCGGGGAAGTTTGATATTGCTGGCCAGAGTCACCAGCTTTTCCATATCTTGGTTGTGGCGGCAGCTTACACACACTATCGTGCTGGGCTGGTGTACCTAAGATGGAGAGACTTAGAGGGTTGTTAACTTGTTACTATTGAGACTTTGGGGCCAGAATTTGATCATAGTAAGTTTGTCTTTTCTAGCCCTTCTTCTGTATTGGGGTTGGGTTCTTTTTGTCTTTGAAAACCTTCTTTGAAAAATTGAATCAAGGTGTAGCATTACTTTTTCTCTTTGGCCATAATGAAGTTTGTAGTGTAAAGTCTGAAAGTTTGGACATTTTTCTTTTATTGATCAAAACCTTCCAGCTATGTAATTACAAGTGTACCTGTATAGGCTCCACCTGGTTTAGCAGGTTAGGACAAATCCCCTCAATTTGCATCCAAGGGGCTTGCGTGAACGGGCAGCCTTGAAGTAAATGGTTCAAGTTTCACTGGAGGTGACAGTGCTGTTGATCCTTTGGAATGAGTTGAAAGAGGGAAATAAAGGTGAAATTGGTGACTAAAAGTCATGAGTTTTGTACTTGTATTCACGAACTTATTGTTCACCACTTTATGCAAAAGACTCGTACTTTGTGTGTGTGTGCTTATATGTACGTACATTTCTAACGTCTTCTTGCTTTTATAAACCAAGTTTCAGAGATGAATATATATTCACTTTAATGTTTACTCCTTTCCGATCAAATCTTTGAGATATTTGAGGAAATTAAAATATCCTGAAGACGATGGTCATTCCTATGTTTTCTATTGGTGTGTCATTGGGTCGTGTTGGGTTAGCTGTGGCGATTCCCTTAATTCGTTTTTTTCTTAAATTGTACTCCAATCCAAATTAGCCTCACCTCCAATGAATTGTTAATTCCCTTAATTATTTTAGACTGCAATAATATATTTTGTATTGTTATCTAATGTACTTTAATCATCTTGTAACCAATGTAGCATCATCAAGACTCTTATATCCCTCTTCTTATAAATATCTATATATATAAAGCAAAAGGCAGAGAATGGTGAAACATTCAAAATACCAAAAAATGCCCTTGGTTAATGCAAACATTAAGAATTGAAATTATTAATTAAATGAGGATAATATGGTAAATTCATACTTTTTCATATTAAAAAAATTAAAATTAAAAGAAAAATCAGATAATGGATCCTATTTTTATAGAACACAACTACCCATTATCTTTTTTAATTTTAAAATAATTTTCTTTTATTTTTTAAAAGCCTCTCGCAAGCGCGGAAGCGCGTGCGGAGAGGCTAGTATGCAAGAACTAATGATATACCATCACTAAGACTCTTATATCCTGTCTTATAGATATATGCAAGACGACCTCATTCACTCCAAATCAGAAATTGTTTGGTCATTGAATTATATCACTGTGAAATGGCACACTTATTTTTGGTCAAACAAGTTGCAGATCTTTAGTTTCAATTTTATAGTTGTTGAAATCCCTTTTAACATTTCTATCATATTTTGGCTGTTGGTGATAACTAATGCGTATCTCTCATTCAGATTATAGCTGTTGGTTTTGACATGTTAGTTACTTGAAATTTTAGAGAAGTTATTGGGCTGTTAATCATCTACTGCCTATACAAGTAGTCTGATGTACTTTTGCAGAACAGACTATTTTTCTAACAGATGATGTAGATGAAAGGACAAGTAATGGGGTGTTAGTTGGATTGGCGCAGGCCTCTGGTATTCTCCCAAGTGTTCTTGGGTTCAAGTCCCATGGTAACCGTGTGTGAGTTTCCCCCGGACAATAAATTAGCCACAAGGTCAATACTGAAAATACAAGTTATAACCAATTACTATAGAATAGATGAACCCAAATTGCAGAGAATCCTAAAACCCCAAACACTTTCAGCAATCTGGCCAAAATACAAATCACACAACTGAAAAACTATTTGCTGATTTTTGCAGAGGGTTTAATTGGACAAATATTTAAAGGAGATGGCTACGAAGGTGGTTGAGAAAAATGGATGAGACTGCAGGTCTTAGATTAGAGGTGCACCCATTGGAGGAGGTGGTGGGCTTTGTTGCTTCCGAAAGTTTCCTGCTGGAGGAGGGGGTGGGCTTGGTCTGATTTTCCGGCCAAATTTGCTCACCTTCAAATCTGTAGCCAAATATAAAACACATAACATAATGTATCCTTGATCAACAATTGCTAAATAAAAGTACAAATTAAAGGAAATGAGAAAGAAAAAAAATATTCAGGGTACAACTCAAATTCTCAAAAGGAATTCTAAATTTCAAAAACTGTTTCTGAATCGCGAACCGAACCTGCATGAATCTGAGATGGATGCATGAGCAAGATGGATGCAATGAACATAAACATAATGAGAAAGCGGACGAAGGAAGAGAGACCAGCCATTGATTATATAAAATTATCTCTTGTTTGGAACTTAGTTCTTACCCCTTGATCACAACTATGGCCCTTATGATAATTATATAGTGAGTGTGAGTGCCTAAGTTGAGTAACTTTGAACGATTTAATTAATTACAAAGCGTGTTGAATGGGGTTGACTGGAATTAGGTCGAGATGCATATTTTAAAGGTTAGTCCATGGAGAAATGATGTTACAAGTTGACTTTAATTTCTTTTAAGGATGCCATTTAGGTATAAATATTCCTTGAAAGCACATGGATTCTTGCTTGAAAGTCTGCAAACTTAATTAACCTAGTTTCATAAGACCTTATATATTCCTTTAATTGTTTGTACGTACTATTATAGGAAAAAGTTCTCTAGCCAGACCACACATCAAAAGAAGATGCATTATATTTTTGGTAAATACCACAAGGAGTCCCCACACTCAAAGGATGGGATTAATCACCGCTCGGAGTTCAACTTGCCCCTAACTACAAAGTACTTCCAATGAGTTTCAAACCCTGCCATTGAGGCACCAAATAGCTAGCCAGCTGGAGGTGGTAGTTTGCCAACCGCACCACACCTGCCATACTATAAATCTGGACTGTTTATCATGTTGATCGTTTTGCGAATGCAGAGTCTAGAATCTAGACTGGAATGTTACTAGGTACACGCATTTCCACTCTTAAGTTGTAATGACCTCTTAAGAAATACATATGATCCTCACAATTGCTTTCAGATGAGATAAAAATAATAAAATTAAGCAAGTAAAGTAAAATGGTGTCACGCTTGATACTGTTGTAGGGGTCTTTTTCTTCTGGCAGCTACGAATGGGCTGGGCTGCTGTAAGGAGCAAATGAGTGAAATTACCCCCTTGTGTCTGAGTTCAAGAACTAGGCCCCAAGAATGTTTCGAAAGGCCAGTAGAACCTTAGGAAACACCCTGGTTGTCTTCACCAACAAAAATAACGATGGCTTACAGATAAATCCTTTAGCTTGGCATGAGAGGCTTGTGGCATGGGAGCAAAGCAATCATGAGTTTAGCATTAAAGAGAGAGTATGAGAAATAGGGGTTCTAAGGAAAGGGGGAAGGTATTTTGGAAGGATTTGTTGAAGAAAGAGAGAAAGAGGAAGAAAGGTGGGTTTGTTGAGCAGTTTCCGGCAACTCAACGAGAGCTGTATCAAACTTTGGAACAGTCTAACAGGAGCGAAAATGGGAGGAAATGGAGGAATAGGGCACGAAATTGCAGGGTTTTGTAGGTGAGAGAGGAAGCTTGCCCTCCATATGTGGGTTGGTTTTGATGGGTAGAAGAAGCTCCCTTTTATAGGCACAAAGAATCCCTAATTTCATCTAACCTTCTTCTCCCTTTTCGTTGCTCCTTCCCACTTGATCCTATTTGATGCAATTTTCCTATTCAAGGCGCATGGGTAAGGAGCCCTTTGTGGTTCCAAGGTTTTGACACAGCTGGTCTTCTCCATAAGGGTGAAGCACCACCTGCTTTCCCTCTGGTTTTTCAAGATAGAGCTTGCAGTGGAAAAGAATATGGATAGAGGCTTTTGTCTGATGGGTATTCTTCCTACACTCATGGATTTCCGTTGGTCTCTGTCATGGCTTCCTATTTGACCATCTTGAAGTCCTAACAAGAATGGAGCACGACGCCAGGTTTTTCATAAGGCTTTGGGCTGGGCTCGTATGTACAGTGTTGGGTCTTTAGCTTGTTACTTCTATCGTTTGACAGGTTTTCGTCAAGCTGCTGGAAGCAGTTTGCCTGTTGCGTTTTTAACAAAGTATTTTGGGCATTCTAATTAACACAGGGTTTTCTAAGCAGACCATTGTATTCTTTCTAAGGCTTTGGGTCATATTCTCTCTCTCATGCTAGCTCATGTGTTTGGGGCCAAGAAATGGGCTTGAATTTTGGTACTCCCAAGTAGCCCAAAATTCTCATTCCTTGATCCCTTAAATAGGCCTTGTGAACGCTTGTACCCATCCATACCACAACCTTCTCAGCAAGCCCCGGGCATTTACGTGGCTTGGGCCCACTTAAGCTTGTAGCGTGGCTAGGTGTAATAATAATGATTTTCGCTTGGCATTGCATGTCGCTTGGCGTGCTTGAATTTTGTCGTCTTTGAAAAGAGACATAATGCTTGACAGGATAATTAGCATGGGCTCTTAGAGCTAGTGTATTTTATAGGCTCATTTCAATTCTTAGCATGACGGATTACACATTTATTTGGCATGGCATGCGGATCGTGGCTCGTGCAAGCGTGCATGAAGAATTTCGCATGCTCTGAATCGGGTTTCTTCTTAATAAGGTGTCGCACTGGGCCGGGAATTTATTTGGGCCCAACCCTTGATTTTTTGGGCCTCAACAACTTCAAAGGAACGGAAGCAATGTAAAAGGGATCTTGAGCCTCCACCTTTAGAGATTGTGAGCAAATTCAAATCGAAGATGTGCTGATTTCTTTTTTAGGTCCAAATGAATGCCCTAATAAACATATATTGGGCTGGAGCCTCCCTCTTTTGCGGGCTCAAGATTGTTTTAACCCGAAAACCGAAAGCCCAATCTATTTTGTTTCGATATCTTCTTCCATTTTTCTCTTTTTCATTTCTCTCACTCACAGTTGGCCACAGCCTTCTCCAGTTAACGACCGCTCTAAACCATCAATGCAGGTCGCCACCACGGCTTCAAGCTTCGCGCTTCACACGCGCATGTTAGCAGTGCCAACCACTCGCCGAGCCCTAAACTCTAGCCGCACCCAAAAGACGTTGTCCCCTACCCTTCCTAGAGCTTCCCTCTCCACCAATTTCCTCTCTCCCTTCCTCAGCACCAGCATCTCCTCCGAATTTTCCTAGAGCTAGTTCTAGTATTACTCTCTGCTTGTTTAACAGATTGGCATGATTGAAGGACGACCTAACTTAATAGTCAGCACCCTTTTATTATTAAGTCATGACAGTAGGATATAACTAGAAGATGACCGGACCAATGTTTGATCATAGGTGATAGGTCGATGCTTTTTTTTTTTTTTTTTGTTGGACCCTGGAGATTAAAACCAGGGCGGAAATAGCGCAAGCAAAAACAGAAGCAGGAGTCCAATTAGGAGGGGACTACAAGCATGCATACAACACAGTCAAAGACCAAAACATGATACAAGTTAAAGCAAAAATGCCAGATAAAGAAAAGAAACAGACGGTGCCATAGATGGGCAAAGGACGATGCTGGGGAGGCAATAATGGGATCGCCTTTGTTGTCAATTTTACATTTTGATAGTATTGGTCAATTCACCAAGTGATAGTAGCTACAGAGTGCAACTATTAAAATAGCGGCCAGAGGTAGTTATAGTAGTGCTAATGCGTTGGTTATTGTTCTTAGGACTCTATCTTGTATTTACGTTTATCCCATGTGGGATTCCTCTTGCTTATCTGATTACATTGTATTCTTATCATACTTGATATAGGACTCTATCTATAATGCTGTATAAATCAATACAATATGCCCTCATGGCAGACGTCCGAAATATTTTAGTCCTAGTGAAGCAGTTGAATATGGCATCATAGACAAGGTACTTCCAATAGAAAGAGTTATTACATTTTTAGTCTAATTCATACCAAACCTTAATTTACCCATTTTCAATTGTTTTTTTCCAGGTACTGTACAATGAAAGGACTACACGGCTAATATTTGAGTATGAAAATCAACTGGAATTTTGTCAGAAATTGTCCTAAACTTTCTGAACTTCTATGCAGTGCGTGTTTTCTGGTATGATGGCCTTTAATAAACTCAACAGGCTAGTATGGAAGAGGAACTGGGTTGTTTGGATATGTACTTTCTAGTGTCGTTTTTATACCTTTCAAAAATTGAGTACTCACAATCACTCCCAGTTTCAATTATTAAGCCATTACGTTGCTTTAGGTTATTCTGGAATTGGGTTGTAAATGCGTGTTCTTTTCATGGCCATACGACCTTTACCACTATTTTGCCTTACGATTCTGTAAAGCGACACCTGGAATATGTGCTGTCTAAAGTTGTTGGGTTGACCATATGGTTAGCTTGCTTTACAGCTTACATTTGCCTTTTAGTCTTTGTTGATTGCCAAAATTGGGAGTGAAGATGACTAATGAAGGCCATTTTGGTTGGTGGGGTATGCATCGTGGCTTGTAGTTTTGGCTTCATTATCCAACAACATTACCTTTTGCCCTCTTCCTGTCATCCCAAGTTACAAGTGTAAGAGAGGGATGTGTCAAAAGATATGAACCTTACACATATTTCAGTGCACTCTCTACAGTTTCTCTTCCATTATTTGCTCTTAGTGGTTGTCCCATTTATGGATGTGATGTCATTTTTTAGCCCCAATATTTATTGTGAAAGTCTCATTCCTGGAATTATGATATAATCAGTATGAATTAGTTAAGAGCTGCAGTTTCCAGTCAAGATCTGCAGTTGGTAACACAAATATTTCCAGTGCAGCAAAGGAAGGCATAATACATAGCCTAAATGTTTGTTGATTTGTTATTAAATGAAAACCATATTTTCTATGGAGGACTCGCCCTTGGCCGTACAATTCTGGTATTTCTATTGTTTATGCCTATTCAATCTTGAACAAAATACTTGAAGGTATACATATATATTCCTTGTGCCTGGTTTGCTTGGAAGCAACCAAATCAAGATTCACCTACCCCAATATCAACCTCTTTGGCCACACACAAAACTTGCGATTTAAACGTGTGACTTCACCCCATTACATTACTTTTCCAAAAAAAAGTTCTTTCTTTTGGTTGGTTACAAGTTTCTTTTGCTCTTCTTCTAATCTAAACTTTGACACGAAGAAGCCCTATATGCTTTTAGTTTTATCTCACAGTCTAATAGGCCTCCTCAGTGCGTTACAACCAAACCTGGTGGTGGCTTTGGTGGGTTTCAATTACTCCAAGTTGTTTATATCCCATAGCTCTTGGTATTTGGCTAGTGACTTAGTGGATTGAAGTAGCTCGGAGCTAGTAGAATCCAAATTGAAAACAACCATTTGAGTCATTACAACGCCAAATTGAAAAAATTCTTTGTGTTTTGCACGGGTGAAGAATATTTTCTTCCAAAGAAGACAAACGGTGTCCACCGACTCTTGATTAAGTTCATATCAAAAGAAAATTCAGTAATAACATTGATTATCAAAACAATCTCTTTTTTCTCTTGCTAAATGTGTACACACGTGGTGTTGTAATTAGAGAGAGTTATTACTATCACCCGGTTTCATACAATAATGTATTTATTTATTTTGTCATATAATTAGTTATGTAATGAGATAACTTATTACATGCAAGTATGATTTCTTATTGTTTATTGACAATAATTTGTACACAAAATACGAAATGGTTTTCGCCCAACCTAAGGAAGAATAAAGAGAGAATGGTCCCGATTGTAATTATAACCTAAGAACACCCTAATTTAATCAAACTTGTAGATTCAAAGAACAAGAGAAAAAGTTAGACTACACTTCTTGTGAGTATGTATTCTATTCTCTCCAATCTCCATTAACAAAATATTTTTGTTTTATATGATAAGGGCTCAATAAAGGGGTCCCACAGAAATGTACACGTCCTCAACCTAATCCTATAAGCCCCCAGCTCCGATTTCTTTAGCACCCTGTATTTCCAAAGTGGAAGAAGAAGGAGAAAAGGTATTTTACCACCTCAGCATGCACTAACCCCAGCCTCAACTATAAATATTGGACTCAGATATCTTTGCTCTCACAACCCTCCTCCTTAACCCTTTGGCTTCATCTACTTGATCAGCTTCCTTTTTCTATAATTAACCTCCTCTCATTGCTTAGGAAACTTTGTCATCACTGAGACATGGAATTTTCCCTTAAGCACAAAATTTGTTTTCTTTGTATCATGGTGCTTTTGCCTGCACTGTGTACCTCTCAAGACACATTTACAAGCTCTAGAGCAACCTATTATGGTAGCCCAGATTGCTATGGGACCCCAAGTATGTATAACCTTTCCTGCTAATGTAAACATTCATTCATGTGTATGTCATGTTGCTAGACTGTTAATCATGAGCATTGTTAAGTAGAATATTGTTTGAGCACGTGATCTTGATTGATCCAACGTGGCAACTTGTCTTGCAAAAACAAATATTCTCTAGTCATACATATGTTTCGAGTCAAATACTTTTGTTACTATATACTGTGGACTTGGCCACGTAGTCTGGATACAACTAACCTCATTAATGATTTAGTTTCACAATTTGACAAGGTAAGCATCTTTTGATGTTAAATAGTACTATGAAAAGAAAACATTATCATGCATGCATGTACGAAGACTTAAGTTAACTATTTGGTAGCAAAATGATAGTAGCATCCACTAAAAGTTCCTAAATAGTATTTATCATCTTGAAAATGGGGTAATTACTAATTGCAATGGTATATGCTCGTGTAGCTGGAGCTTGTGGCTATGGAGAATATGGAAGGACAGTCAACGACGGCCAAGTGTCCGCAGTTGCTAGGCTGTATCGGAATGGAACTGGCTGTGGTGCATGTTACCAGGTACTCTTGAATCTACTCAATCATTTTTCAAAGTTGATGAACACTAATTATGTTGGTTAGCACTAACAATATTAAACAATTAAACAAGTGGCTCCATTAATTTAATTGTAACCCTAATTAATTTGCTTAATCAAGTCTTTTGCTTGTGATTCAGGTTAGGTGCAGAGAACCTCAACATTGCAGTAGTGATGGGGTGAATGCGGTGGTGACAGATTATGGGGAAGGAGACAGAACAGACTTCATCTTCAGCCGAAGAGCCTATGCAAAGTTGGCAAGTAACCCAGCTGCAGCTGAAAGGCTATTTGCTTATGGTGTGGTTGAAATTGAATACAGAAGGATCCCCTGCCGGTTCTCTGGTGGTGCCAACCTTGTGTTCAAAGTCCATGAGAATAGCAAATATCCTGAATACTTGGCTTTAGTGATTCAATATGTAGCTGGCCAAAATGACATCACATCTGTTGAGTTATGGCAGGTAAACTATACTTCACTTTGAATGCTGCATCAATTTAAACTCAGAACGTCTTCAAATAAAGCGTAAGCTCGCACGGTGTCACTAGACCAAAAGGTCATTGACAACCGAATATACATCTCTAACAGAGATGAGACTTACTTGTTATCTCTATACAATGTGATTTATTGATACGGTTTATAATGTGGTACGTAAATGTGATACACATATCCTTACTCGCCTAATATAACATGTTTTTTTGGGGCAGGAGGATTGCAAACAATGGAGGGCCATGCGCAGAGCATATGGAGCAGTTTGGGACACTCCAAACCCACCTAGTGGCTCCATTAACTTGAGGTTCCAAGTGAGTGGCCGTGCAGGGGAGAAATTCGTGCAGGCAAACAACGCCATCCCTGGAGATTGGAAAGCGGGGCTTTCCTATGAGACAGACATTCAGCTCAATTAACTGCACATGTTTTGAGATCATCCCAAACTTTTATCCAAATATTAGGACAGAAATTTCGTGTTGGTTAATATATTATAATTATTCCATGTAATGCTAGTTGCTTGCTTGTCATGACTAGGAACTATTGTTATTGTATGCTGGGTAGGAGCAAGTGCACTTGGCTTGCCCCTAGATTTAGTGGGATGGTGTACTTTCAAGTTGTAAGGATATAATATGAATAAAGTTCCAACTTTTTGGATCCTTCCATATGTGCTTCACAACACATACAGTCACGAACCTAATATGATGATTAAGGGTTAATTATACTTTCCAAAATTGTGGTTTGACACTGTAACTATTCGGTTGACATCTTTTGAAAATTGGCAAAAAATTACTTTAAAGTTTCAAATTGTTACATCATTAACACTCAAGTTAACTCTTTTTTAAAGGACTTTTTCTATTGAGAATGGCGATAATATACTAAACTCACACAAACTACACGGACATTATGACTCGAATTCAGGACCTAACATGAGGGAGCAATCGCTCCAAATCACTACGCTAGTGGGTTCTTTGCAGTCAATTCTTTTTTTTAAGTGTGTCCACTCATTGGGATTATTTTTTACTTATATGAAGACTAGTTTAATATCACATGAGACTTTTTTCATCTATCTCTTATATATATCTAGTAGGTTAGGGCTTTTTTCATTTTTATTTTTAAAGAAAATTTATAATTGGTTGTCCATATAACTCTGCTAATCCATGTGGCTACGTGAAAAAAAAAAAAATTAAGTGTTAAATCGAATTCAACACTTTTAACCCAACTCAGTAGAAGCATACCACTAGGTAGGTAGGCAGAAGATCTCAATCAACTTGAGTAGCTAGTGCCACACCAGGGAGGGACCAAGCAAGAATGCAACATCTCCACAGGCGTAGGAAGAGCGCCGCCCCCACCAAGAAGAATGGCTCTACCACTCAACTTCCCCCTCATTGCTTGGGATTTATTGTTGAACTCAATAACTTAGCCCTAAATCCTAACTCTACGACAGCTGCGATTCTACCCGAAATAATCCACCATAAGATTTTTCTTAAACAACCACTCATTTTTATACTACAATGATACTTCACTTCCCAATATTAAGTTCGAATTCACTGTATTGTCTCAAGTAAATCACAGTTTGTCCGATAGGAGTTGTTTCGGTTTGATAGGGTCTCTCCGAGCCTTGTCTGACTTGTATGCTTCATTGTATTTACTTTCTGTCCGTTTCACTTTTCATGTATTTGATAACATATTGTACTAGATAAATATTGAAGTCCTTAGCACTCAAGGCATAGAAAAGAACTTTATTGGGTATGTTTCCCCTCCCAATTCACAATCACTTGATTATTAGTCATTTATTCGGCGCGCAATCCATTATCTACAGTCTCAATCTGTTGGAGTTCTCGCCGCCAATAGTGGCACGCTCGCAACCGCATTCACAACACAATCACCGGCGGCCATCCATGCATGGCCGTTGGATTTCAGAGGCACAAACACTACCATGAAGCCAATCTGCAACATGTAAACTTAGGAAGCAACTTCATAGTATTGCTGGGAAAGCAGGAAGAGTCATCATGTCAATTGTCGTCAAGGTAGAAGTCAACTGTAACTACGTACAGGAACCACAAAACAAGAAACATAAGACAAAAAGAGATTTGTATGGTGGGATGGAAGTAAATAGGTAGGGACAACTCCCTAGTTCTCTGTGGTCCACCCCATGACTGTAAGGTCTTCTCTAGTTCCCCTTCCCTTGAATTCTTAATTGGTTTGGCATAAAATTCTTTGTAAGCTTCCATGAGATGATGCAGGCGAAAATCCCCGCCATTGTCCAAGAAGGACTTGACCAAATTGTTGGACCAGCCACGCAACAGAGTCAACCCTGGACGAGGCGAATCAATCAAAGGTAAATCAATCGATGGCGAATTCCAGTTGGAAATATTCCAAAACAGAATATGTGGCACGCCATCATCCCCATCCCCATACCCTTTGTCCTTAAACATTCTCTGTATGGCCTCATACTTAGTCTCCCAAGCGCAGCTATCATAAAATCCTGAGGGTATGCATGCAGTAGGTGAACACAAACAACTTCTTGATCATCTACTCTGGCTTCAAATCTTCCTTGACAGTCACTTGGCTGCTGCTGCTGCTGCTTTCACCTCCTCCCGAATACCCCTTAACCGCACACTGCCTTCGCGCGTTAAACATGCCTTGACGATTGTAGTACTTTTTTCAGCAGCAGCCTCCTCAAGCCGCCAAAGGAGTGGGCAATAGAGACGGCGTTGCATGCGAGAGTCTTGGGGTGGTTCTGGTGGAGCCAAGAGGCGGCAGTTTCGAAAGCTTCCAATTAGTACCGTTTTCCAGCATAGAGGTAGCAGATGAGCTTGAGGGTGGTTAGGGGATTGTGGGACCAGGTTTTGTTGCTTCAGGTAGTTAAGGGAACGGGAATTATTGGAAGCCCGCTTAGCGTCGTCCTTGTCCTCATCCACCATGTAGTTCTTGACGTGTGGTGTCACTTTGAAAAACAGATCAAGGCAGGGGTCACCGAAGCCATTAATCTATATATGAAGCAACAGAGCATCATAATACTTTCCAACTACTACGTACCAATCATGTGAGATAGAATAAACATTCAATATTTGTTAGCAATAGTCAATTAATGAGGATTAGTTTGGCACCTACAATGGTTGGTAGCCTACAATGTTTAGTCAATTAATGTGTTAATTATGTAGTAAATTAATGTGTTAATTATGTAGTCAATTAATGTTTGGCACCTACAATATTTGGGGGGCTTGACTAGTTTGGTTGCCTAATTAGTTTGGTTGCCTAACTTGGTTGGTTGCCTAACTTGGGGGGCTTGACTAATGTCTTAGGAACTTGTATATATATGTGTTGATTGTAAGTAATGAAACATAAGTGAAAAATCAGAAAATATTCTACAACTCTCATTCTCTCTACACTTTCCACTCTCTACTCTCAATATTCTCTATGTTTTAGCATGGTATCAGAGCCTAATGGCTAATCCTTAAGATCCTCTATCAAATTGAGAGTCGTTGGCATTTTTTCATGTTGCTGTAAATTCTCTTGTTTCCATTAAATTTCCTCTCTTTTATCTGTATGGGCAATAAGTCCCTTGGCCACGATGGCCTAATTTGTTTCCTATGGGCAGTACGTTCCTTGATC